CTAGTGGGATTCCATCCATTAGGATGGAGTGGGGAAGTTTCCAATCATGAAATCAAGACAAAGTGCTGTAGATGCAGAAGATCTGAAATATAACAGAAAATGTTGGAGAAACTCAGTTGGTCGGGTATTATCTGTGAAGAGAAAACCCGAGTTGATGTTTCGAGTCCAATATGAGAAGACGTATTAACTCTGTTTTACTCTCGCCATAATGCTGGCAGACTGGCCGAATAAGCTAGCTGGGCACCATTTCACTTGCTGCAAGCTCGGAGCTTCAAAGTAACCTGTGGATGTTTCTGAATTGCATGTGCCATGTGAAAGTACAACAAAATTATGCACACAAAGAAAGCTGCTCATGTACCAGTGAAAAACCGGGATGAATGAACAGAGAAAGGTGAAAATAATGAGACAGAATAAATCATTGATTTTAAATGTAATTTGTGTCTATCTGGTGAAATATTCCGCGTAAACTATGCCCATTTAGACCACAAGATGCTGACGGTGGTACATTTTTGAACCATTTTCCAGGAAAGCTGGTTCATTGCATGGTCAGTTCATGTTTTTGTGGATATTTCTCCCTAATTTAAGTTAACTCATTCATTAACATTATCCCATTGGACTCTGAGCATATGTCAGTGAACAAAATTAAATAGAATTGACTTTCGAATGAACCTGACAAGACTATTGAACAATTCACAGATTCAAATGCATTACCTGAGGGCCAATAACTTCTTGTTGTAGTCAGTAATTCCGTCTTTGGACTGTTGGGAACAGCTTACTGGGAGATAGTTATAAAAAGCAGGAATCAAAGCCCATTCCTGTGCATCAGAAAAGGGGAGGCAACGGCCTAGTGGTATTGTTGCTGGACTGCTATTTCAGGTTCAAATCCTGCCACAGCAGATGGTGGAATTTGAATTCAATAAAATATTTGGAATTAAGAATCAACGATGACCATGAATCTATTGTCGATTGTTGGAAAAACCCATCTGGTTCACTAATGTCCTTTAGGGAAGGAAACTGCCATCCTTACCTGGTCTAGCCTACAAGTGATTCCAGACCCACAGCAATGTGGTTGACTCTGAACTGCCCTCTGGGCAATTAGGGATGGGCAATAAATGCTGCCTGGCCAGCAATGCCCTCATCCTGTTAATGAATAAAGGAAAAAAAACCGGAAATAAAGTTGACAATTTTTGTAACATCCTGAGTAGAGTTTGCATACAGAATACAGATGAGGCTAGGATTGGAAAATGTTAAAACAATGGTGACAAGGATTTAGAACAGAATGAATACATCAGGGCTGAATTTTAATTCACTCCTGACGCCATAAGCCCTGCATATCCTCTGTGATACCTACTCAGTCACTCAGGATCATCTCACCAGCTGCATCGAAAGTAGCTGTGCCATCTATCCCTTAATACCAGCCTTTCATTGATTCCAGGAGGAAAACAGCCCACGATAGGACAGACAGAGCCAAAACAGTGGTGAGTTGCCCAACATTGAGCTCCTTAGCACTTACATGGAGAGCATGCTAACTCCGACTGCCCCAAGCAGCTGTCTGACTGTGTACAAGCCCCTGGGTTGATATCCAACACTGACCTGATATCAGGAGCCCTGCGGACAACCATGAAAAGCTTCAGGGTGTTGTATCTGCAGTGAACAGTATACCAAACAGCAGTACTGTGAGCCTGTTATTTCTAGCTGAGTAAACACAGCTCAAAAGACAAGGTAATGCGAGGCAGATCAGCTCCGAGTCAGTGAACACCACAACAGCAAGTGAATATGTTGGAGGTGCAGCTTAGTCCAGTCCATGAGCCGGGTGCATAGCCCTTAATGCACAGTGTCCTTGCTGCAGCATTACAATGAGAGTTGCCAGTGCAGCATTGAAGTGTTTAAACAAATTGTAAATGGATCAGAAAGTGTCGTGAGGGTTCTTAAAGGCTGGCATGTCAGATGCTAATGTTTACGGATGTGGAGTACATGTAGCCACGCCCATGGTGCATGCCCAGAGACGTGATGCCTGGTGTTCAACATGGAGGTCCTTCAGTGCAAGCGGTGAGCTGAAGTCGCAAGGTACCCTCTCTGACTGCCATGTCAAGAATTCTCGATCTAGCTTGTTTAACGTGTTTGGTAAGGGATTAAGCTGATTTTCCTGAAGTAATTTATGCCATTAATAAGGTGTTTAACAAGTAGTAGTCCCTCCTAATTACCAAGTCACCACTCAATAGTGAGAAATGTGCTTCGCTGCTGGAAGATGTGTACAGGATAGGATGAATTGCTCCAAACATCAAAGTAAGCCTCGTCAGACTTCTCACGTGATTCTATCACAAATCTCATATCATAGCCCGCATTGTTCAGGTCCCTACAAGTTTCTGTCTAATAAGACTAATTTTTCTGATCTTCATGTGAGACTACATGTATCAGACTTGATCTCTGCTGAACCCCACTCCATTTCTGGTGGTTCACTCATTTCAACCATGTGCTCAAGTTTTAATTGTGTGTGAAATTTGAGGCAGTCATCTGTATTGGCAGGCATGGGAAACCCCCTCTCTCAACCACCAGTTCATCAAGTGTGCAGCCACGCTGCCTCAAAAGAGTTTTAAAGGCATGTAGATCATTTCAATCTCCTTCAATTTCCAGTTGAGGTATAGCTACTGTTCAGTTTTTTTTATGGGCATCCTTCAAAGCAAGCGTTCGCCCAACAGCAATAACCCACTCAGTGATGCCCAGTTCGGGTTCCACCAGGGCCACTCAGCTCCTGATCTCATTACAGCCTTGGTTCAAAGATGGGACAAAAGAGCTGTATCCCAGAGGTGAAGTGAAAGTGACAGCCCTTGACATTAAGGCTGCATTAAACCGGGTGTGGCATTAAGGAGCCCTGGCAAAACTGGAATCAGTGGTTATCAGGGGGCAAATTCTCTGCTGGTTGGAGTCATACCTGACGCATAGGAAGATGGTCGGGTTGTTGGAGATCAGTGATCTCGGCTCCAGGACATCTCTGCCGGAGCTCCTCAGAGTAGTGTCCTAGGCCCAACCGTCTTCAGCTGCTTCGTCAATGACCTTCCCTCCATCATAAGGTTAGAAGTGGAGATGTTCACCGATGATTGCACAATGTTCAGCACCATTCGCAACTCCTCAGGTACTGAAGCAGTCTGTGTCCAAATACAACAAGATCTGAAAAAATCCAAATTTGGGCTGACAAGTGGCAGATAACATTCATGCCACACATATGCCCAAACAATGATCATCTCCAAGAGAGAATCTAACCATCACTCCTTGATACTCAATGGCATTAGCAGCACTGTATCCTCACTATTCATGTCCTGGGGGTTAACATTAACAAGAAGATGAACTGAGCTCGCCATATAAAAACTGTGGCTCCAAAAGGAAGTCAGAGACCAGGAATCCTGCAGCAAATAACACTCACCTCCTGACTCCCCAGAGCCTGCCCACCATCTCCAAGCCACAATTCAGGAGTGTGATGGAATACTCCTCACTTGCCTGGATGGGTGCAGCTCAAATAACACTCAAGAAGCTTAACAGCATCCAGGACGAACTTGACCAGCACTACATTTTCAAACACTGTCACTCAACCACTGATGCCTAGTAGTGCTATTAGTAGTAGTGTGTACCATCAATAAGTTGTACGTAGGATAGCACAGTGGCTCAGTGGTTAGCACTGCTGCCTCACTACGCTAGGATCCCGGGTTTGATTCCACCCTTGAGTGACCGTCTGTGCGGAGATTGCATGTTCTCCCTGCATCAGCATGGGTTTCCTCCCACAGTCCAAAGATGTACAGGTTAGGTGGATTGGCCATGCTAAATTCTCCATACTGTCCAGGGACATACAGGTTAGATGGATTAACCTTGGGAAATGCAGGCTAGCAGGGACAGGGTGGGGTGAGGGGGTTGCTATATGGGTCTGAGTCTGGGTCTGGGTCGGATGCTGTTTAGAGGGTCAGTGTGGACTCAATGGGCCGAATGGCCTGTCTTCACACTGTAGAGATTGTGTGATTCTCTGGAGAAATTCATCAAGGTTCCTTTGACAGCATCTTCTACATCAGCAACTACTTCCATCTAGAAGACAGACATACATGGGAGCATCATCATCAGCAAGTTCCCCTCAAAATCACACCACCACCCTGACTTGGAAATATTTTGAAGTTCCTTAGATGTTGCTGAGTCAAAATCCTGGCAATGTGGGTGAGCCTACACCAAATGGACTGAAGCGATTCAAGAAAGTAGCTCACCACCATCTTTTTGAGGGCAAGTAGGGACAGGTAATAAATGCTGGCCCAACCGGTGATGCCCTCATTCCATGAATAAGAATAAATTGAAAAGGAGACAAATAGAAGCTTAGGTACGCATGGGAGTGTAGGATGAAGTATAATTGCCAAAATAAGAAGAGTTTAAGCAATGGAAAGATTTGTAGAAAAGATAAAGGACATAAAGATAGTGAAGGTTGGTGAGTAAGGGATTGGAGGGGAATAGAAGCATCAGACAATGGTTGCAGTTTGTGGAGGGAATCCTGGGAGGCAGAACAGGAGCATGCTGCAGGTATTAAAGAACTTGCAGAAGGAGCATCCAGTGGGGTCAAAGCTGTATGGGCAATTGTAAACAAGAATGTGGAGAAATGTGCCTTCAGAACAGCAGCAATAAGCTGTTTGGATAGGGCACAGAAAATTGGCTTTAGATTACATCTGTGAGTGGAATAATTTATGTGCAACCATGTGTCTCTACCTCTCATGTCAAAGAAGATTCACAAGGCAGTAACTGGCATTAGAATTCCTTTTATTTCTCATTAGATCCATTGTATAATTATTAAGCTTCTGGTTTGCATAGAATTTGTAAACAAATTATCCCCTCTGGCTATATGCTCCCACTCTCTTTTAAAATCTGTGTTGAAGACTATTTTTCCAAGTTTCTGAGGAAATCTCCTAATGTCTCCTTATGCTTTCAATTACAGTTCCAGTAATAATATTTGTATTTATATTTTAAAAATATAGCATTCAGCGAGCATGGCGTGAATACTTGCAGCGTCAAGAGCCCATCCGGCACAGCAGCATGGAGAAACGGAGTCCATCACCACCTTCCCTGTCGTCAGGAAAAATGAGCACCTCTATCAGCATGAACACACTTTCTGATGGCAGCACTCCTGTAAGTAACCAGCCCTTCCTTTGTTTTACTCTGCCACCTGCTGGATGTGACCAGCAAAATACTGAGAACCAGTTCACTTACTCAGAAGGTGTATAAGGTTAAATTCTTTTTAAATCTAGTTACCTTTTTTGGATGTGCTTGATTTATTACTTTCTGTATGACTGAAGCTCATTATGTTCTGCTACAGGTGATTTGTGTAGAATGCAAGCTACTGAAGGCTACCTGAAAATAAATGTTTGTAATTTACTTCCAAAAGTTCAGAACTTTTTCATGTCTCCCCATGTTATAAATGATAATGAATATTTTACGAACCAAGGATAATAGAGTGAATCTCACTCGCTGTCATTAGAATATGCTTGGTGTCGTAAAGCTTGACGTTGAAATCAACAGCAAAGCAAAATTGTAACCACTTCCTTCTGTGGGGAATATGGTTTTTATTGATACAAAATGCAGTTGGAGCTGTAGTTATATAAGGAATCTGTGTGGCTTTAGTGGCTGGAACTCCAGCCCTGAGCTGTTAAAGGTGTTGTGCTTGAATGTACTTCGAACATTTGCATTGTCAGCCTCTTGAGTGATTGTACAAGATCTCAGAAACTATTTTGAAGAAGAGCAGGGGAATTATCTTTGGTGTCCTGGCCAATATTTATCCCTCAATAAACTTCACAAAAAGCTGATTATCTGGTGATTATCGTTTTCCTGTTTGTTTGAATCTTGCATATGTAAATTGCCTGCTGAGGTTCATACAACAGTGACTGTACTTCAAAAGTACTTAATTGATTATGAAGTGCCTTGGGGTGTCCAGTGATGGTGAAGGCCAATGCGAATTTCTCTTTGTAATAAAATAGAGATCACATACCATTTGCCCATTTGAGCATCTACAACATTTCTCCCTTCGTAGACTCAGTTTTTGCTGGGTCTGACAGCCTTTTGTAACCTGGACTGACTGGTGTAAAGTTGTCGTAGTCCCAGAGGACCACATGACTGTACTTCCATAAGAGAGAGGCAACTGGTGGTGGTTCAACCTGAGGGTCACCATGCCTCAGGTGAGGGCAGAGGTTGAGAAGATGGGAGCTTCGTGGTAACCTCAGACGGTGTGAGAATTGAGCTCATACTGTTCAAGTCCCTTTGCGTTGCAAGTCAGGCCGTCTAACTGAGCTTACTGGTCCATAATGACTGGCTGTCTTCCTAGGTTTCTCTATCTCTCCCAGGTTCACAATAACAAAGTGATGAAGACTTTCTATCACAACAGGTATGAGGTATTTTTCAATTCCAATAAATTGCTTAATATTTTAAAGTTATGCCTTTATTAGCTCTATTGCCCCAAAGCCTTACATATTTGGATTTAGTACACTGATTTTTTTCTAATTGAAATGTTTGTTACAGATAATTAGTGAAAAAATTCCACAATGTGTCAGTTTTCTAGTAGCAGTCACACTATATATTTTGCTGGTTATTGATTAAAACAAACAAACTCTTCCTTATATTTGACACGGATGTTGTGAGAAGTGAAAAGGTGTCATTATTAGTGCAGTCGGTATAGGTTATTTCCTGAGGTTGGGACTGAAGCATCTAGGTGCAGAGCAGGGAGAAATTTGCTTTGATTTGCACTGATTTGTATTCTACCTGAAAGTACTTCATACTGATGAGTGCTTGAAATAGAATGGATTCGTTCCCAGCAAGAATGGCATAACTTTGAATGCAACATTTCTTATGCAGATGAGAACACAAATTTAATTCTCTATAAGGAGACGGCTTAATTCCATTTTCTACATTTGGTGGAGTAACAGAGTATTACTTCCTTGATTTAGTTAAGTTTGTGATTTAATGCTGTAAAATCCCAGATGGTGGTTTTGTAAGATTCAATAGTGATAGCCTATTGCTGTTGGCCATTCCTGGTGCAGGGGGTGATTTGTACAGGCCGATTGGCACTGTGCTTGACTGGCTGACCCCTTCTTGGGTCAAAGGGTGCCTGAGACAAAAGGCATACCTATCCCTGGAAGCTGGAGGCAGTTTTTAATTGTCCATTTAATTCACTCAATGGAGCCCTGAGCAGGCAGATCTGCTGCCATGCCATCTTTCCAACTGCTGGAATAGTACAGCAGCTGGGAGGCATCAGGTACACCATCCAACTCCTTCCCCATGGTTTTGTCAGCCTTCCCACCTCCTGTCTTCTCTCCAAAGGTTCTGAAAAATTCCACCATAGTTTCACTTTACTTTCCTTGTGATTTTGCAAATAATCACTACTGGGGCTCATCTACTCAATTACAGTCAATTTACTCTGTGTTGAATACAGTGGTCCATGTGTCTTCATTTCATTTGAGATTTTTAATTAATGGTAACGGGGTGGATTCCTTTATTGGGCAAGTAACATATTTAACAGTATCCCGTGTGTGTCATTTGTCGTTAGATTAAGATTCCTACAGTCTTGTGAATGGAAACAGGATTGAGTATATGAAGTCAGCAGCCATACTGACTTTGACCAGAGGAAAGCATAATCCTGTATGAATATCTCATGAGAGTACAATTTTCAATTTACCTCCTCGTTGATCAGCAGGTATTGATTCAAAGTAGCAGGTGAGGCACAAAAGGAGCAGTTTTTTATTCATTTCATCTTCTGTATAAGCGTCTTAAACATATTAAAAGGTGACTTACTTTTGTGTATTGTCATGCAAGACCTAATAATGAATAGCAGCATGATTGCTAATCTTCATTTACAATCACGGGCGGATGATCAGCAGGAGTTACGAGTGAACACGTATTGTTAGGCAGCCTTCTGCTGCATGTCAAATTATCCATGTCAAAAAGAAAAATGAGCACATTTGTGATGGTGCCAAGGTAACTATCTCACATTTTAAACAGGATAATATAAAAATGATTTTACTGATCCCTTCATTTCCATGTATCCCTTATTCATTTTTCAAAGAACGACAATATTTTTAATCCTATCCACATGATTGTGCTGTCTGCATTTTTAGGGAAATACTTAGGCTGTGTAAGTACGTGCAATGATGACTACTGGTGAAACGCATTTTGTAATGGACATTATCAAACCCACATGAATATGCTGCTCTGGTAAATATGAATGATGATTTGGAGTTAACTGTCTGTTTAACTGTTAATAATTGAGCAATTTCACAAAAACTATATAATGAACCTCGCATGTGTGAGAATCTATGAGAAACCTTTTTGAATTTTTTTTTAGAAATATGTTATGAACAAACCATTCATAAAATTGTTAATCCATTCCCAATGCAGACTCTTTATGATATGAATGATTACTTTCCTAACTTACTTCTCATCAGTTCAGGACCATGGCCTACCCATATAGCTGGTTGATTTAGTTGGGTTTTATAGCCTCGCAGAGGCAGTTTGAGACAACTGGAAGAATATATGTGAAATCTAGTGAAAGAATCTCCTTTGAGAAATGTGCTGCAACTAGGTGTGAAAATCACACAACATTCTACTGCCAGCGTGCCAAATCCACAAAGTAGTTTGATCATAGATTGTGTTTTAATCAATTCTGTTGCAATGGATTATTTTCTCGTGCCGTTTTGGACAACATTCTGAATATCCCAGCATAATGTTGAGAAACTAAAACATTGTGCACTTTTTAACCTTTTTTTTTGAAAGGTATCTGTTAAAGCGTTTATTTTCATTCCAGCATTTTCAACCTACCAGTTTAAATAAAGTTAATCAATGGTGCATTGAGTAGACTGACGAGGATTAGTTCATTTGAATTTGCTAATCATAATGCTCTGTCCAATTTTGGTCATATGCAGGGCATTTGCAAAGTGGAGAATACATGTGCAAGCTTGTTATCAAATCAAATATAAAAAGATTTGTACACTTAAATTTAAGTGGCTACAAATGAGAAATATTGCTTTAGTCTTTGGAAGTTTACAAAAGAAATAGAAAATATTTGCCAAATGTTACTAAGGTTGAGGGTACTGGTGGAATGGGGAAAATTAAGCTAATGGGATGGGCTTGGGGAAATCAACAGAACTCCATATGGAACAGATTCTATGGTCATGCGACAGCCAGGTATAGCACCTGGACCCGTTGTTTAATGGCTGGAGAAACAGATGTGCTGCTGCACAAAGTGGATATGTGGAGGCAGCCTGTTTGCTATTTCTGACAGCAAGCATCAACCAGGTTGATTGCTACCTTCAGGACCTGGGAACAGATGTGGGAGATGGCAAATTTTAAGCAATTTAGCATGGTACAACTGCCTGTGCATCAAAGAACTCACGATTGTATGATACAGTCTTTCCTGTCATCCTGTAACACTCTTGTCCCTTACTCTCCTCAGAACAGTGCAGATTAAGAGGTGACCTTATTGATATGTTCAAAATTATGTACATTTTTAACAGGATAAAGAATGATATTCTGTTTCTACTGGTTGGTATGTCAGGAACTAGAGGTCACAATTTCACAATTGTCAGCAAGAGAGCTCGGAGTGGGATGAGGAGAAACTTCTTTACTCAGAGTTGATTGGATTTGGAAAGTGTGACCTGGGAGAACATAGAACAAAGAACATAGAACATAGAACAGTACAGCACAGTACAGGCCCTTTGGCCCAAGATGTTGTGCCGAACTTTTACCCTAAACCTAAGGTCTATCTAACCTCCACCCCTACCTTATACTATCATCCATATGCCTATCTAATAGTCGCTTAAATGCCCCTAATGAGGACGACTCCACTACCCTCTCCGGCAATGCAATCCACACCCCTACCACTCTCTGAGTAAAGAACCTACCTCTGATGTCTCCCCTATATCTACCTCTACTCGCTTTAAAACTATGCCCCCTCATAATAGCTACCTCCACCCTAGGAAACAGTCTCTGGCTGTCCTCTCTATCTATACCTCCGATCATTTTGTACACCTCTATCAAGTCACCTCTCATCCTTTGTCATTCTAAAGAGAAAAGCCCTAGCTCTCTCAACCATTCCTCGTAAGACCTTCCCTCCATTCCAGGCAACATCCTGGTAAATCTCCTCT